TCTTCTCCAACGTAGTGACACAAACACCTGCCTTTCAAACTTTGTTTATGCTCTTGTTTACGTAGTCCAGATGTCAAAATCATGATCATGAAAACATTTTTACTACTGTCCATTTTTCACTCTATGTCATTAAATCAATATTTTAATAATAAATTAGATAATGCATTTTTTAGTATTTTGTTAAAAACGTTTGATATATGTCAGTGGCACAGTTAAACGACGTCCCAAACTGAACCCAAACGACCCGAATGGTAAGAAACAAACACGCCAGAATTATTAAGAGGTGTGAGATGATAATGAATTAAAACAATGTTATCTTATGTATTGTGATCCTAGTATTATGTCTTAAACTGCTACACGCGCCTAACGTGCACTTGAAACAAGGTTTCTTTGAAATATATTATCTAATTGATTATTCGGGATTGACATCCAAATGCACATATGAGTATTTATTATTATAAAATATCGGTTTGTGAAAAAGAACACTTGATACCTACTTACATAAACAGGATTACTTATAGTCTATGGATGAACCGATATCAATATTCTCGCCTTGCTTGTCCAGGGTATATCATAATAATCCGTATAATTCTTGATTTGAAATTCTTATCACTTTCCCTACTCAGCCTATTCTTCTATTCTATCCACCACTAGCCTCACACCTACCGTAAATACCATGGTCTATGTTCCCCTGTCGCCATTAAACATTGATAGCGAACCCAAGACACCACCGACAAAGACACCTTTATGTCCGCACGCTTTGTCTATTTCTTTGTACCCATGATCTTGTAAATTAAATTATTTTTTATACACGAATATAAAAATAAAAGGTTTTCTGTCGGGCTACATTAGCAGACGGGTCAGTAGTTTCGGGTCACATGAGCGTAATATTATAACGTATGCTAATATTATATACACTTTGATTAAAAAAAACACTTATGACGGGGCTACGGATTATGTGCATTTTTGCTTCAGGGCGACACCGCAGAAAATCATTTTATGAATTAACCAGAACATATCTGTGAATATCTAGTGAAAAATCAATCTGTGACCCTGACAGAAGGTACCTTTGGGATTTCTTTTCATAACCAGCCTGCACATTGATTTTAGACTAATTTCTCCGCTAGAACAACAGGGTTTCCAAAAGTTTGTTAATTTTTTCATTCAAATTATACAAAAGCTCCTCTACGTTCTGATAAGAAAATTTCCCGATATAAGTTCATTAAATAATTCACTTTTCTACAACGAGTTCTTTCATAATCTGTATCTTACAAACGCCATACTAAGTAGAGGGGGTACATGCTTTGTAAAGGTTCTCATAGTGTGTATAACCAAATAATTTTCTTTTCTGCCCAGGCTACCATTATTAGTAACAGGTCATTGTAGTGTGCCTGCGGTCCTAGAACACTCAGCCATGCTACATGTACTAATCCTCTTGGCCTCTAAGCGGCTTTTGATACGGTAAACCATCGATTGTCCCTCAATTTCCTTGAGGAGAGCATGTGGATCAAAGGAACTTCTCCACTCCAGTCTAAATGGAAGTCGATGTCATTTGAGGAAATCTCGTCTGGTCTGTTAGAACTAGTCCATGATGTCCACCAAGAAAGTGAACTGAGTCCTCTTCAGTTTTGTATCTATACTGACGTTTGTATCAAACGCTGACCACAAAAGCGGGAAAACGAATAAATTCCATATGCTTTACCTAGGTACATACTCGTTTGTTTGGATATAGCTCCAATCTAGAATGAAAAGCTGGCAATGAGCCTGAAAGAGAAACTATAATAAACACAATTATTTAACCCATGCCTTGCAAGGAGAAAGTTCTTGTCAAGTACACGTACGTGTACGTCGGCAGTTTTCAAGTTGTCCATTTTACAAAAATCTGTCACTCACAACCACATGGCACATCAGTTTTGCGCTAGTGTTTCCCTTCACTAACTCTTTATGGTTGGATTTTTTCAGTAGTATAGATCACGTTGCTGGAACAGAAGGTAGTTGTTTCTGGTGTTTTTTCAGTTTTGTTGTATAATACAACTTTGCTTTCCCTTGGCCTCGTATTGAATAGCGACGGTGCTGACGTCTGTCGCTTTGCAGTAACTGGCACTGAGGGCGTGGTGACAGTGCATCGAAATCTGTTACATGAGATTATTGTGATCTGGGCAACCAGGGCGATACAGTAACAAAGTCCTAATGCATTGAATACCAAAGTGTGGGATCTGTACGTATCCAGAGCGAGGCCTTAGAAAATGATATAAAATGTAATGTCATGTTACAAGCAAACAAAGTCGTCATTCATTATAGCGTGTATTGATACTTATAATTAAGACCAAGTGCTGATGTTTCATTAAGCTATAGGATACATTTACATTTAACAAGACTAGACAATTTATGTCTTCTGTTTATGCAAGATTTGATGATAATTCAAACTTTCAAAATCTTGAAGTAACAATCTCACATGCCGAGTCGCAAAAATGGCCAAACTTTGGCGCTTTCTTTTTAGGCGGTCATATTAGCTCTGTCCATATAAGGACTACGTTTCCTTTTCACCTGTTAAGGAACTCCCAGCTGCCAACCCAAGGCCCAAGCCAACACGCAGAATTAGAAATAAACTGTGAACATTTTCACCTCCCATGACTTCGTTACCGGTGGCGTAACCAGCAACAATGATAGGACCCTGCCCGGCTCCTAGAACTGAATTATTTAGAAAACCAGTAATTGATTTTAAATTCCCTCTTTCAAAATTGATAAATTGTTGGTTTTAACGATAATTAAAATTACCGTACAGCTTATATAACCCTGTTCGTATCCGCCAAACCGATCACCTTTTTGTGATCACACTTCGCCAAATGATGCCATGCATACTAGCACCACTGTGACTGTGAAACACATTGTATCTGTTTTAAGGGTAACTTAAATTTTCAAGTTGTGATATTTTGGCCTATGTGTTCTAGACTGATGATAATTGCGAGTCTAATGAAACCATGCATCTAATGTAAGTAATATTAATACTGACACAATATTTACAAAGTGATTCTTTTTTAAATTCAAATGTGTCCAAAAAATGAGAACCTACCAGCTCCAAATGAGATAACACCGGCTAATGATTTGCTCTGAGGTAAAATAAAACAAGCAAGAGCTAGCGTCAGGGTGCATCCGGTATACATATATAATAAATAACCCTTGATGTAGTCGCCAAAAATTCCGACTAGAAATCGAGTTGTGAAGTTTCCAACTCCTTCTGCCGTGAGAGGCAATGTCGAAACCAGTCCATGGAATCCCTTATCTTCAGCGTATTTTACCTGCATCAAGCAAAGAAGGAATTAGTGTAGGCTTAATACAAAAACATCCAAACCAACTGAATCAGTTTATGAAGTAATTGACATAAGTGCATTTCATTTTCTATAACATATAAGTCTTTTTTCAAAACAATTGCTCGGTGGACATAAGCTGTACTTTAAGAAAAACCGCAAAAAGATAAATATATAAATAAAATAAACAAATTGAACTATACACACAGTATAAGATACATGTACATGAAGCCTACAGCTTGCATCCTAAAGAAATATGTATATTGTCTCATTGGAAAAAAAAGAAGCCCTTACTTTCTATTGGGTCTTAAACTTACCAAAAAGGTATACATCACAGACTGACATAACCCTTTGCACAGAGCTGCCGTAAACCAAAGGGACATCAGGGCTACTTTTCTCCATCCAGTCCAGGATGTGGTCTGTAGTTTATTTTTACTACTCGTTGGATTCGTCACGCCTTCTGATTTTGGTTCCCGATACAGACATCCAGTGAAAACACAAAGGAACACACCAAAACACATTAGAAAGAGAAAGGAATATCTCCAACTGCTTGTTGATATTATCCACCTGATGAATAGGGGAACTGTTAAGAATCCTGCAAGATGAATAATGTTTGAACTTTTAATATCTGAAAGTGTTGTTGGAAAGTGCTACAATACACAGATTTCAATACTGCAAAATTAACACGGCACTAATAGGTCTCGCACTGTCGCTAGCAACAGAATGGTTCAGAGGTGTTATTGTATAAATGACCAGCCATGGACAAATTTATAGAGTTTAAATAACAAAAATCATAGATATACTCGTTAAAACACCGGAAAGGGAACGGAAGGAAAAAAGTAAACCGTTTCATTATATTTACCCAGTGGGAAAGTTATCATTTGAAAGCTAGTGGCAAGCACGTGGTAACGGTGTCGCCACGGAAACCATTCAGCCATAAGAAATGGCAACGGGGTCGTACAGAAATTGAGTCCAAATCCGAAAAATACAGCTCGTGAAATTGTCAGAAACGTCATATTGGGAGCAATGGCACTGAGTCCATGTCCTAGACAGCAAAGTACCAAACCAATCCGTATGGTCCACGGGCACCCTAACACATCAGATATCATCTTTGTTAGATGACTGGGGATGTATACAAAGAAAAACAGCAGTGACTGGTTCAGACCTGGAAAACGTGATAGAAGATATAATATAAACGCATTTATGTCATAATATACACTTTAAATTCTCAACTAATGAAACATTTTAAGCACAATGCTTTCATACTCGTTGGCTTCACTATATACTTATCACAGTGATGCTGCGTACAACGGGTATTATATATCACGAGGTTTTAGATCGTCCAAAAGTTAAACAAGTGATTGGTGTGCTCAACTTCATACTGACATATAGACATTGCCAAGATAACTCTGAAGAACTCTGAAGAACAATGAAAGACTTGCAGAATTGGAAACTGAACTCCAGGACACCGGAGTTAAATGGCATGTGATAGGCTTGTCAGAAATTAGGCGAGCGGAAGAACGCTTAATTACCTTGAATAGCGGACATATATTGTACCATACAAATGCTTCAAATGGCCAACAAGGAGTTGGATTTCTGATACACAAGGCGCTAAGCAAGAACATCATCGAGGTAAAGCAAATTAGCGCAAGGCTGGCTACAGTCAAACTCAAAGTGAATCAGAGATTCTCAATGAAACTCATTCACGTATATGCACCAACATCAAGCAGACAAGATGAAGAAGTAGAACAACTGTATGAAGAAGTACAGCGTCAGTTGACAACAGACTGCCACTACCACATAGTCATGGGTGATTTCAACGCCAAGATCGGGATAAAGTCAGACGAGCAAGAGCGTGCCACAGGGAAATTTGGCAGCGGAGAGAGGAATGAAAGAGGAGACTTACTGATTGAATGGGCGACAGCAAATAACTTGAAGATCATGAATACCGTCTACAAGAAGAAGATATCAAGAAGATGGACATGGCAAAGCCCAGATGGATGTACAAGAAACGAAATTGATTACATCATGACAAACAGACCGAACATCTTCACGGATGTGAAAGTGCTAAACAGACCGGATGCGGGCAGTGACCACAGAGCAGTTATGGGAGTGATAAGGATCAATGTCAGGAAGGACAGACAGAAATGCCTGTCAAATCCATCAAAGAGACCTAGTATCGAGCAACTGGTCATAAAGAAAGACGAGTTCCAAATCCTCCTAACGAACAGATTCAGTACACTAGAGCTAGAAGGTGAAGATGGAGTAGATGAAATGAACGATAGAATAACGACCACCATCCTAGAATGTGCATCAGAAGTCGCACCGGCCAGTAAAATGAAGGACTCAAAGCTCTCAACAGAAACGAGGATTCTCATGAAGAAAAGACGGATGATGAAGAAAAGGGAGGTAAACAACAACAGGGACATCAGAAAAAACTTCGAATATGCAGAACTGGATAAGACCATCAAGAAGAAGCCAAGGGAAGACATCAGGAAGAAGAACATGAAGAAGATAGCAGAGACCATCGAAAATGGAAAGAGCATGAAAAGAGCAAAGAGATCCTTTCAACTAGGGCAGGATAGAATGCTGACTCTTCTAGACAAAGATGAAAATGAGCTCACCACACAAAACCAAATATTAGAACGAGTAGAAGAATTCTATGGAGAGTTGTATGACAGCAACAACGGAATAGAAATCTCAACAAAGGCATGCGATCTACCAGACATAACAGCTTGGGAAGTAGAGTCAGCAGTCCAGAAAATGAAGAACGGAAAGGAAGCAGGAAATGACAACATCAAAGCAGAAATGGTAAAAGCAGGAGATATCCTATCTCAGGAATTAGCCAGGCTCTTCACAAAGTGCTTACATCTGAAGGAAATTCCTGTAGCATGGAAGAACGCCAACATGATCACAATGTTCAAAAAGGGCAATAGGAAAGACATCAAGAATTACAGACCCATCTGCCTACTTTCTAATTTGTACAAGATTTACACCAAAATATTGACCGAAAGGCTAACAAGACAACTAGATGAAGCGCAGCCAAAGGAACAAGCAGGTTTCAGAGGCCAGTACACCACTACTGATCATATGCACACTGTCAAATAGCTTAAAGAGAAATGTCTCGAGTATAACATTCCACTATGTGTAGCATTCGTTGATTATGAAAAAGCCTTCGACTCAGTAGAAACCCAGTATATACTGGCATCCCTGCAAGATCTAGGGATTGAAGATGGATACGTAGACGTCCTCAGAGACATATACACCGATAGCTCTGTAACAGTCAAACTACACAAGACCACCAATAAGATCAGGATCAAGAAAGGTGTACGCCAAGGAGATACAATCTCTCTTAAACTGTTCACAGCAGCATTGGAACGTATATTCAGGGAGCTAGACTGGCAAGACAAGGGCATAAACATAGACGGTACCAGGCTCAATCACCTTAGGTTTGCAGACGACATCATAATAGTAGCAGATGATGCGAAAGAACTAGAAGAAATGCTACAGGCGTTAGCAGATGAAAGCGCAAAAAGTGGGCTAAAGATGAACACCAGCAAGACAAAGGTGATGTTTGGACCACTAACCACCCCTTGCACAGTGAAAGTCAACACCAAAGAGATAGACGCAGTGGAAGAGTATATATACCTTGGGCAACGGTTCAGCCTTAGTGATCGAACACTGGAGAAAGAAATACAACGAAGGATAAAAGCAGGATGGGCAGCGTATGGGAAGCACAATGACATCTTCAAGAGCAATCTTCCTACCTGCCTGAATAAGAAAGTGTTCAATGCTTGTGTGCTGCCGGCAATCACCTATGGTTCAGAGACGTGGGCACTGAATGCCTCCATGGAACACAAGCTACAAGTACCCCAGAGAAAGATGGAAAGAATTATGTTGAACATCAATCCAAGAGAGCGGAAAACGAATGTATGGTTACGTGAACAGACCAAAGTCAAGGACGTACTACTCACAGTTAAAGAAATGAAATGGAGGTGGGCAGGACATGTCAAAAGAATGAAGGACAATAGGTGGACAATCAGGCTTACAGAATGGACCCCAAGGTATGGACAAAGAAAAAGAGGAAAGCCGGTCAAACGATTGAGGGATGAATTAGACGACTACTGGAAGTCTTGGAAGAAGAAACCTTGGCCAAACTGGAAATCTGAGGCTCAGGATAGGAAACAATGGAAAAAGCATGCTGAGGCCTTTGTCCAACAGTGGAACACTATAGGCTCTAAATGATGATGATGATGAAGATACCTTACACCTTACGCACTTAATAACCTCTTCGGTTAACCTACTACCTTAAAAACCAATTTTCAGTTGAGGAAGGTGAAGAAGTGCACATTACATGGCCACGTTTCCATAATCTGTGTGAGAAAAAAATCTAATCAAAACGATGAGGTTAAGTCCTATTTATGTCGCTGGCGTGTGCAGTTGCCTTTTAATTTTTGTCCAGCTAATGTGATGAGTGATAACGATCATTTTACACTTAAAATATGAGACGGTTGAATGATGATTTTTTTTTTTTTTTTTTTTTGGCGTTGTTATCATTGCATTGATACTCTGTTGTAATATCCCACACTTTTAAACAACATGAACATTATATTTTGCCGTATATAGCATAATGTTAATTAGCAAAAAATTTAATCAGTAAAAATCAGAAAAAATCAACTATACTTCATTATCCATAACAGAGAGAGAGAGAGAGAGAGAGAGAGAGAGAGAGAGGTGTTAACAACTTACCCAACACGAAAGCAGAACTGTACATGTCAGAGTTAGGCTGGTTAAAATCCGAGACTATTTCAGACCAAGATGTGGCCGATCCTCCGAAAAATATAGACGCCGATAAAACTGCGCCTAGTATTATGTAACCGTAATATACCATGGTGCCAGAGAAGGTTATTTGGCGGTGAAAAATTCCTGGAAGACAAAGGAATGTATCTCCAAACGTACAAACACTAATAATAAAAATAAAGGATTCAGTCTTTTTTATCGACACCCTCTTGATTTTACATCACTATTAAATTTACATTATGACACTAAGGTGGTGCCAGTTTACCACGGCGATCACAAAATTCACACAAGTCTTGGTCGTTCTTGTCTACGGTCGGCACAGTGTCTCTCCGTCAAACTAAGGAGGTGCATTGTGAATAGGCCTCATCGGACAAACCTCAACTGCTTGCAAACGAAACGTACCTCTAGTTACACTAGTTACACGATCAGAGGCAAGCGCATGCTGCGCTGTTTCAAAACCTATTATGAGCTATCATTGGTGACTGGACGTCTAAGACATTGCTACGTTTAGTACCCCATACTTGATACCTTCTTCCGTTAAGTACTGGTCGCACTTAAGACATTCTTATTAAAAATACATACCGTGCGAGTGTTTTAAAGAGTTCTATGCACCCCCGATCCCCTATTCGACTGACGAAGACGGCTTAATTGGAAGACTATCAAGTTTGCTTAGACACCACCTAGTACGCATATAAAAAGAACTGTAACTGTAATTTGTCTTCTCACGAATTTGAACTCGGCTCTGACCGCAGTAGATATGGGTCACTTGAAAAAATATAATGCCGAAGAACTGGGGCATCAAATTATATCGTAAGATTATACCGAAGAATGGGAGCCTTCAAATGGACAGAAAACTCACGGGGGAAATTGGGGGCATTCATTTCACAAAAGCAGAGCATACGCTACATGTACATGTATTATGGAATTTTCCATTCGCTGCTTGACTCTAACTTGACTCAAACATGTGACACATGGCATTTTTCTTCTCAAAGTTATTTCAGTGACTGGAGAGTGTAATTGGGGTGTTCTATGAATAAGAATGCAATGATTGTTTGACGTGTTCAGCTGCGTTACTCAGGATAGGCGCGACTTATTGATTTCGCCCATAAATGAAGTAATACAAGGCTTCACCATGTTTACATGGCATCAAAAGAATTTACCACTAATACCAGCGTACTGCCCATGTGGTACTCTTTGTTGCTTCGTTGCTTCCAGTATGAGTGTTTTATCGAGAAAATTTCATCATTTCACTATGACTTTGTCGTCTACAAGGTCATCAATCTTCCACAATTTGCATTTATCAAATTCAGTTTCTTCAATTAATTTAGTAAGAGGTCGCGACGTAATGTTTTTCCTCTTGTAAATGCTTTAGAATCTCAGATCGGTACTCATTAAAGTGTTTTCTGGGTGATCCATAAAGAGATACCCATGCGTACGGACGAGAGGATGCAAATTTACAGAAACTCAAACCAAATATTTTACCTCACCAAGATACATAGCTGGGTTAATATTCTGACATGCAATGTGACCCTGGAATTTCTTTAATAAAACAGACTACATCTGCTAAAATACTAAAATTATTGTGCACGCAATTACATTGATTTAATTCACTCTTCACTCCTCCACTTTCTGGAAACTCTGGCGTGTTTATTTATTTTACTACTCAGGTGGCTTCCATTCGATTTGTCACGCCACTAATTTGTACCGTGGACGTTATATTATCACCATTATATGACCGTACAAATAAAAAAAAACGGATTTTTCTATGTTTTACCCAGGTACATACTACATGTAGTTTGTTTGGATATAATTTCAATCTAGATAAAAAATAATAAATAAACCTGGCAATAAACCCCAAAACTCAATAAAACTGTGTATTTAGCAGAGACCCATGTCTTTTTAAGGTAGATTGCATGTCTACTACACTTGCAACGATGATCTGTTGTTGGCAGTTTTCAAGCCATTGGTTTTACGAAAATCTACCACACAAATATATGGTATGTCAGTTTTGCACTACTTTTTATATTAAATACATCTGCATGGTTGGATTTTTTCAATAGTATAGGTCATGTCGCTGGCACAAAGGGTTGTTGTTTCTGATGGTTCACCTCTTTTGTTATAGAAAACATATCTGCCACACGTATAACAGTTTTTTTTTCAACAGACATATCTATAACAGATTTATTTTCAACGGTTTTTGTTTGTTTGTTTNTTCGTCAAACTAAGGAGGTGCATTGTGAATAGGCCTCATCGGACAAACCTCAACTGCTTGCAAACGAAACGTACCTCTAGTTACACTAGTTACACGATCAGAGGCAAGCGCATGCTGCGCTGTTTCAAAACCTATTATGAGCTATCATTGGTGACTGGACGTCTAAGACATTGCTACGTTTAGTACCCCATACTTGATACCTTCTTCCGTTAAGTACTGGTCGCACTTAAGACATTCTTATTAAAAATACATACCGTGCGAGTGTTTTAAAGAGTTCTATGCACCCCCGATCCCCTATTCGACTGACGAAGACGGCTTAATTGGAAGACTATCAAGTTTGCTTAGACACCACCTAGTACGCATATAAAAAGAACTGTAACTGTAATTTGTCTTCTCACGAATTTGAACTCGGCTCTGACCGCAGTAGATATGGGTCACTTGAAAAAATATAATGCCGAAGAACTGGGGCATCAAATTATATCGTAAGATTATACCGAAGAATGGGAGCCTTCAAATGGACAGAAAACTCACGGGGGAAATTGGGGGCATTCATTTCACAAAAGCAGAGCATACGCTACATGTACATGTATTATGGAATTTTCCATTCGCTGCTTGACTCTAACTTGACTCAAACATGTGACACATGGCATTTTTCTTCTCAAAGTTATTTCAGTGACTGGAGAGTGTAATTGGGGTGTTCTATGAATAAGAATGCAATGATTGTTTGACGTGTTCAGCTGCGTTACTCAGGATAGGCGCGACTTATTGATTTCGCCCATAAATGAAGTAATACAAGGCTTCACCATGTTTACATGGCATCAAAAGAATTTACCACTAATACCAGCGTACTGCCCATGTGGTACTCTTTGTTGCTTCGTTGCTTCCAGTATGAGTGTTTTATCGAGAAAATTTCATCATTTCACTATGACTTTGTCGTCTACAAGGTCATCAATCTTCCACAATTTGCATTTATCAAATTCAGTTTCTTCAATTAATTTAGTAAGAGGTCGCGACGTAATGTTTTTCCTCTTGTAAATGCTTTAGAATCTCAGATCGGTACTCATTAAAGTGTTTTCTGGGTGATCCATAAAGAGATACCCATGCGTACGGACGAGAGGATGCAAATTTACAGAAACTCAAACCAAATATTTTACCTCACCAAGATACATAGCTGGGTTAATATTCTGACATGCAATGTGACCCTGGAATTTCTTTAATAAAACAGACTACATCTGCTAAAATACTAAAATTATTGTGCACGCAATTACATTGATTTAATTCACTCTTCACTCCTCCACTTTCTGGAAACTCTGGCGTGTTTATTTATTTTACTACTCAGGTGGCTTCCATTCGATTTGTCACGCCACTAATTTGTACCGTGGACGTTATATTATCACCATTATATGACCGTACAAATAAAAAAAAAACGGATTTTTCTATGTTTTACCCAGGTACATACTACATGTAGTTTGTTTGGATATAATTTCAATCTAGATAAAAAATAATAAATAAACCTGGCAATAAACCCCAAAACTCAATAAAACTGTGTATTTAGCAGAGACCCATGTCTTTTTAAGGTAGATTGCATGTCTACTACACTTGCAACGATGATCTGTTGTTGGCAGTTTTCAAGCCATTGGTTTTACGAAAATCTACCACACAAATATATGGTATGTCAGTTTTGCACTACTTTTTATATTAAATACATCTGCATGGTTGGATTTTTTCAATAGTATAGGTCATGTCGCTGGCACAAAGGGTTGTTGTTTCTGATGGTTCACCTCTTTTGTTATAGAAAACATATCTGCCACACGTATAACAGTTTTTTTTTCAACAGACATATCTATAACAGATTTATTTTCAACGGTTTTTGTTTGTTTGTTTGTTTGTTTGCTTGCTTGCTTGCTTTAAATTCAGTCATGTAGTGACTTTCATTATGTCTCTCCAATTCACAAATTACTTTTGATGTTCTGCAAGAAACAAGTTCATTCAAATATAATGAAATCGGAGGTCATTTCATGGTTGAACATCAAAAAGTATCAGTAAAGGGCAATTCTAATTTTGAATTAGAAATGATTTCTAATGAAAATGTTTCATTATGCCAAACACACTATGATAAAAGCAGTCCAATTTCAATCACCCATTAGAGTGACGTACATGTAGTTACAATATAGAAAATATTTTTTCAAATGTTGATGACGATAGAAACTTTACAAATATAATTTAATTGACTTCCTCTGTAAATAGCACAGTATTATGGTTTCATATTTCATCAGTACAATGTGTTTCGTCAAAAAAACGGGTTTCTCCCACCTGACAAAATACCTCCGGAGCCCATTCCAAGTCCCAAGCCAACACGCTGAATGAGTTACAAATTGTGGACGTTTTCACTTTCCATGACTTCATTACAAGCAGCGTAACGTGCTGCAACAATAGGACCATATCCGGCTCCTAGAACTGGATTTTTTTTTTTAATATAAGCATTTCGTCGATGCCTTCTTTCACAGTTGGAATGTCGGAGACTGAAACCTTCCCTAACTGGACATACCATGGAACGATGTTCGCATTCCATATAATAATATCTGCTAAACGTAAGTCGGTCGGCGTCACTTTGCTTTCCGTATTCTTTAGTACACTTCCATTCTGAAAACGAATTATTATAAGCCTGCTTGGCGTTGGCCTACTTCATTAGGGACTTTACTTTTAATTGTGACCCAACTTAAACATTGGACCACGGGTAGCGTTCAGGCACTTATGCTAAGAAGCAACCATTTGTCTTTATAAAAATACAAAGGTTTAGTGTAAACGTGAGCCCACCTGCTCCAAATGAAATAACTTCGGCCAAAGACTTGAACGACGGTAAAATAAACCAAGCAAGCGCTAACATCAGTGAGCATCCGGCATACATGTGTAACAGATAGCCCTTGATGTAGTCGCCTAACATTCCAACTAGAAATCGAGAAATTAAGTTACCAACGCCATCTGCCGTGAGTGGCAATGTTGACACATAGCCATGGAATCCCTGATCCTCGGCGTACTTTACCTGGAATACATTTACCAATTTAAGACCCCATTCCCATAGATATTAAGATCGATCTATCCCCCTGGGGAGTCTCACTAGATGGTGTC